TGATTCTATGATTGTTACCCAGGGCTGCGATACATCTCGCTGTCAGGTTTGGAGGGATAATGCTGTTTGTGTCAACAACAGCACGAGCAAAGCATTGCTGCTAGCGGGAGCCTGAGAAGCTAAATGAGAGAGTATCTTAGGCAGAAAATCAGAGGGGGAGGAATGGTTGCTTGACACAGCAGCTTTCCCTGGGATTTTAGGGTAGGAGAAGGCAGGGAATTACATGGGACTGTGAAGTTCATCAACTGAGGCTTAGACTGATAGCAGAATGCAGGTCTATGAAACAGTGTTTATAGAGCTGTGTCAGCCCTCTGTGCACTGTGCAGTCAAGTGAAATAATAGAGTTGTTCTTCCTTCTCCTTCTTCATTTGTTCTTGGCTGTGCCTCTTCTCCTTCCTGGCAGGTGGTTTGGAACGAAACATGGGCCTCCTGCCACGCTGCAGAGGAAGGAGAGGCGCGTGCATCAGTGCTGGGTTGGAGCAGCGTGTCTGAACAACACGGCTGAAGCTGCTTCGCGCTGCTGGGCTCTGCTGTGAGTGCCGCAGCCCCTTGCTGTCTGTTTTCTGGGCAGGTTTCACTGTGTCTCTGTGTGTTTTTTCTAATGGAAAATGAGCGTCAAGCACCTGAAGGCCGTGTGTGTGTGAGCGCTTCAGCTTCTACAGGGTGCCTGTTCTCAATTGCCCGTGCGTGGGGTGTGACAATGGGGCTGCCCTCGTGTTGCCCTGTGACGTGTGCAGCAGGAGCCATGGCCGGAAGCTCCACGCTGTGCCTCTGGGGGGGCCAAAGCTCAGTTTGGCAAAATGCGGAACATGCCAAGAAAGCTGTGGTGTGATGGCATGGCTGAGCTGAGCTAGGGCTCTGCTGTGGTTGTCAGGAGTGTCCTGCTGCTGCCTGGTTCCTCTTTTTGCCGATTTTCATGCCTTTTTAAATACCGCCAGGTTAGCAAATTGCCATGAGCTTACTGAGAAAATTAACAAGGATGGGAGGGGGCTGTGTGTCCAAGACACTGGGATGGGAGGAGGACAGTGGAAGGGCACTGAGCTGGAATAACTCGCAGCATAACTGACTTCCCAGCAGGTGCTGAAGTTACATCAGTCCTGTAAACTGGGCCACCCCTGAGCATGGGTGCATCCCCACCCGGGTACGGAGGTCCCTAGTAACACTCTTCCCCATAACCTTTGGTGTTCAATTACCCCCAGCTCCTCCGAAGCGGACTGTTGGGGCGAGGTGTGCCTGTGGATTGTCACACTTACGTTCTGGTTTACAGTTGCCTGCGATTTTTCCAGGGCCCGTTGCAGTTTCGCCTCCTGCAGTTTCCTCTGTTGTCTCAGCTTTTCCTCTCTGAGCCTTTTGAAAGGAGCAAATAAAGGGTGGGTTAGATGCGGTGTGCAGCTCCACGTATCTGCTTTGGATGTGCAGCTGGTCTACCGGCGCAGAGGGGTTTGGCTACAGCTGATGCTGGGGTTTGTTGCTGTGAAGGTTGTACGAGGGAAACACTTGGTGCAGTTGATCCTACAGTTTCCAGAGTGAGAGAAGGAAAAAGCACGTCGGGCGTTGCAAACGGCCGTGTCAGACAGCCCTTCTCTGCCGCAGACGCGCGTTGTGCCGCCTTCAGCAGGTGTGTGAGGAGCTGCAGCTGACCAGGATGCTCACCGGCTTGGTGGGTGAATGGGACTTGGGGTGTCTTAAGTCCTCACCAGTGCAACCAAGTCTCTCACGTGAGTAGGAGGGTTTGACATCCATGGAGCTGCACTTTGCCTAAATGAGCACAGTGGAGGTTGATCCTGTCAACTGGCTGCAGTTCCGTAAGGAAATGCAGCACTGGAGATTAAATGGGCTTAAGCTATTGAACACTGTGGCAGAGAGGAAAGGAATTCTTAACCTTGTGGTCTTCAGGACCAATTTTAATTTCTCTTTGGTATTTTTGGTTGGTTGGTTGGTTTTCTTTCTTATTTGGGGCAGCGTGTGTGTCTGATTCCTTCCTGAATTATCCTCCTCCATCCCAGAGTAGAATAAAAGTGTATCAATTATTTGGCAAGTTCAGAGTGCAAAACCACTTGTGGAACATCAGGAAGAAACAGCGCACCTTTTCTACTACAGAAGTGAAGAAAGATGCAGAGAAAGAGGGTAAGTAGGGGGGAACTGTCACTGTTTTGGCTTTAAATCCTCTCACTACTCTCTTTTTTTCCGCTGGATCTGATTCAGCCTGATACCACCAGCTGTCCAGGTGCGTATTTGCTGTTTGTGAGGAGAAATTTTGTGTGTATAACCAAGTCAACAGGCATGTGTCTCATCTTGGAATCTAAATTTATTGTTTTGACTGGCTACTATTTTAATTTAATAATAAAAGTTATGTGTTTTGTAGAGGAAACACATGAAACTGGCCCTGCTGACAAGTGCCTTATGTACCTGTGCAAATTGCCTTCTTAAAATGGTAACTTTCTCATGATTTAATTTGCCCAGGAAATTTGTTCTTTTTTTTTTCTCCCCTCCTTCCAGATTTTGCCCTTCAATTCAGGACACAGGCACCTTCCAGGTCTTTTCTAAAGTAGCTGTGGGCTGCAGCTTGCTGTGTATCAGGAGATGTGAGTACTATGAATGTGAGACCATTCCAGAAGTAAAATGGGATGGGTTGGTCACATGAGCTTTCAGACTCCTGTTACGGTTTCCCTGGTTGAGCTGACAAATCTGACTCTTGTGGTGGGTTTGCTTTTGGCTGTCAACATTTAAAAATAGAGGCCCCATTTCCAGGAGAGGGTCTTGTCTTACCTTATCCTCTGTTCCTGTTTTTTGGCTTTCTCAGCCTGTTCTCTCTCTGCTGGTGGGATTCTCTGCAGGGCGTCCAGTAAATTATTGAGCTGTTTCTCCATCACCATCAGCATCTGCATGGTCTGCAGGTTTGTCTTATTATCCCCAGTGCAGTGGTAATAGACTTCCAGCACCTTCTTGTTCAGGCTTGCGAGCATTTTGTCCTAGAGATGGGATACGGGGAGAGGCACAGGTGGTTTCTGCCCAGCAGGACCACAACATCCCTCCGGCGAATCCGGACAGACGGCGCATGGAGCCGTTGCTCTTCCCTGCTTCGCTGTGGCCCGGGCCTGGTGGCAGCTGCCTCTGCGAGGCTTGCTCCCACCTCGTAGCAGCTGCGTGGAAGAGGCACTCGCGCCCCGGTTTGCAGCCTCAGCAGCGCCCAAACCTGCCCCTGCTGCCCCATTGCTGAGCAACAGTGTGGAGCCCACCCCAGCGCAACCCCTGCTTTTCTCCCAGGTTGGATATGGCTGGGGGAGAGGAACCGTGAGCACACGCTAAGCCCCTTGCCTGGATCTCGGGACGTACCTGTTCATCAGCTTTGTGTCCTCCGGAGGAAAAGAGCTGAACTTTGAGCTTCAGATCTGCGACTCTCTCCTCTTCCTTGTCGACAGAGGATTTGAGGGTGACGACCTGCTGTTTGAGCTCCGCTAACCTCTTCTCCCTAGGCCAGAAGAGAAGTGAAAGAGGTTATTTTGGAAAGGGCATCTCTGAAACACGGCTCCTCTGCTGCTTCCCAGCCCGGGACCGTCCCTGCTGCTGCCGGCAGATGGAGGTAACACTTCGCTCTCCCCTGGTTCCGAGAGCTGTTGCTGTACCTGTGCGGGGAGGGAGCAGTAGCGTAGCTAAACTTAGCCCAGGTGTTTTAATAAGGCGGTGGGGGACGTAGATTCCCCTTACAAAACCTTCACGGGAAGGCAAACAGCACTTTAAACAGGAATGTGTGTGTCTACTTGCCCTTGAAATACTCTACTGCAGTGACACTTGGCTCCCTGCTGGCTCCCTCTAGGAAGGGTTTGCATGGAGTCGGAATAGGTGGTGGTCTGGATCACTCCAGGACATGCCTTGTTTCTTCCTTTGATCTTTCTTTATGGGAATTACAGGATACTTCTGGCTTAGGTCCACTCCAGGATCTCAAATGCATCAGTTCCCCAGCCTGTGCCTTGAGGAGTAAGGAACAAATCCCAAGCGCTTGTCCTAGCTCCTAAATCACACAGATGGGATACTCTCCCAGGAGCTCACAAGGTGGTGGATTGGATGGGCTGCAGCTGGGCTCCAAGGTATGAGAAAGAGACTCTGTGGTGTGCTGTGTGAACGGCATTATGTGTGCTCTGCAGCCTGATGGCGAGGTGCTAGTGGGGGAAGAGGGGGTCACTTCTGCTTGAAAGCTGGGGTACAGGGACCCTTTCCCACCTCTCACAGGATCACACTTACGTGCTTTCATGTGTGGTGATGAAAGCGTGTTGGACCTCGCCCAAACTTTCCTCGATCTCCTGGGACTTCTGGATGAAGGATAAGTTCTCGTCCTCCATCTCCGTGAAAACAGATAGCAGTTGTTGGGGATCAGTAAAATACAGCTCAGGCTCCTGGAGTGGAAAACAGACATGATGAGTTTGTGTCCTCTAGCTTCTTTCCCACTGAACGTCATGGAGGTTGGGCGACACGTGCCCTGGTTGTTCAAATGCTCTCCTATTTAGAGAGGTCCATGACTGTCCCTGTACAAATGTCTCCCACCTTTCTGCCATGTCTGAGCTTAACGCTGCCTCCAACGCAAAGCACGTTTGGGGAGTAAAAACTGTGTGAGTCAGAAAACTTCAGTTTCGGACACCAAACAGTAACTTCACTGATCTCCCATTATGTGATGTTGTATCTTGTTGGGGGATGGCAAGCTTTGACACGATGGAAGGTTTTTGGAAAGTGGAAAAGGGAAGTTAAACTAAGGCAATTATAATACGTGTTACTAAAACATAAACGTTTATGAATGTATAAACATACATTTATAATTAGTGGCTACAATAACTCCTTAATACCATAATGAATAGTTAGAAGGTGAGAGAAATTAGTAACATCAATAAATGACACAGGACAAACAGAAAGTGTAAATATTTCAACACGAGATTTCTGACCTCATCTTCGTCCGAGCAGGTTTCGCTTTTTGCATCCTCCAGTAAACTTCTGAAAAAGCATTTTGTGTGTCAGGCCCTTAGAGAAATGATAGCTCAAAGGAGACCTTGTTAGTGAATTATGAACACTGTTGTTGTTTGCTGTTACTCTTTGCTCCTGAATAGCCCTTGGCACATTCACACGTTTGGTCCCGTGTGTCTGTGGGCTACTTGGGGGTCAGTAGAACTGCTTTCTTCTACTGACTCCCAGTAGGTTTCCTCTACACTGACTCCCAGTTGCTTGACTGCTCTCTGCAGTACTTGAGTCTGCATTGCCTTGTACTTACAGTTTTCTTGTTGATAGAGGCTTCAGGAAGTTTTTGAGCTGTGGCTTGATCTCGCATAATGACCTGAAATCCAAACTTTTTGAAGACAGCAGGAAACTTGGCACATCCATGTAACTGGTACTGGGGGGACTGGCTGTCAGACCCTGCCCTGGAGAAAAGATAGGTACACTTAGAGCATGGGGCTGTCCAGTGAGGAGTGGGCAGCTTCCCTGGCACTCACCCTGCTCTGCCGTGGTGGGAGGTGAGGCACTTTCTTCATTAGCTTTGGATGCTGTTTTCAACTCCTCTTCCTTTGTGCACTTTTTTCCATGTTCCTCCTGCCACTCTTTCGGAGAGAGTTGATAGAGGAAGTCCCTGTACATCTTGTACTCCTTCAGAATAATCTTGAATCTGGATATATCACTGGGGTGCGAGAAGTGGGCAAAGTTTGTTCGCAGGGAGGAAAGCCCCTGTTTGAACAGGTTCTTTCTAACTCTTGATACTCAGCTTCACCCAGAGAAGGGACAAGAGGGCACAGACACATGGGAACTTGCCCTGTGTGCGCTCAGTGGTCTGTCATGTGGAAGCTGTCTGGTCACATCCCTGTCACCAGACCCTTGCTACAGCACTGGGCTTGCTAATTTGGGATTTTTTACTTGAAAATGAATGAGAAATCTTGCCAGCTCAACTTCTAATGGGGATTACATTTTTTTTTTCCTTTTTCATTCCCCAGGTCACCATTAAAAAGCATTACTTAGTTTTGTTTGTTTTTTTTAATCTGAGACTAGGCATTTAATTTTGGGTTTGGAATATTTATACTTTTAAAAAATATAATTAAAATATTAGTTAAACTATTTTAGAAACAAAGCCAGCATCTGGAAAAAAAATACCAAAAAACCAAAAACCTGAAACATTTTGACTCTTAAAATTGAACAGTTTTAGAAATCTTTTCCCCCGATTCCCTTTTTCCCCAAGGTCTGTGAGGGTATTGCGCTGTGGGAGTGTAAAGGCTAGGCAGGAATATTGTGTAACGTTACCTTTGGAGATTCTTTATTTGGGAAGTGATTGCCTGAATCTCTCTTGTTTTCTTTATCTTTGCTGCGGTTTCTTTCTCGGCACTAGGGAAGAACGCATAAACAAGCCATGAAACAATTCAGCAGTAAGTGGGTAGCGAATTGAGGTGCATATAAACAGTGAAGATGATGTGGGGGGAGCACTAGAAATCTCTCTTACAGATGTACCCCAGGAGATGCTTGGCTCCTGCCTGAAGGCCCTGATTGTCTTGGCAGAGAGAATATGAGGTCCCAGTGACACTTTCAGGTTAAGGCCTCCCTAATTCGGCTGCTGCTGAGCATCAGTTAGCCTTGCGATGCCTGTAAAGGGCCAAAGTGCTCAAAACGCTTCACTGAGGGACTTTTGCTGCTGTGAGGGCTTGGGCAGAAGCATCTCCTGTTCATAAGGGTGTTGTGAGAAGACTGGAAGTGGGGGAGTCAACATCAGGTTTCTTGCTGCAGCCAAATCAGGGGCTTTTGCAATGAGGGGATTCCCCAGCTATTAATCTCCTTCCTCTCCTTCATTGAATGTGTGTGGGAGAAAGTGCCACCAGGATGGTAACTCTGAGAAAACTCAGACAGAAAGCATCTGAGGATGGCTGTTAGCCAAAACCCTGCAGGGAGGTCAAGCAAAAGACATCCGGTGTCCAGCACAGAAGGGTACACAGATGGTTCCCTCCATTTCCATTACATTTTCAGGGCTTGAACAGAGTTTCTATGGTTCTCCTTCAGGAACTCATCAAACATGGTAGCATCCTTCTCCAGGTAGTATTCTGCCTTTTTCAGTCTTCTTTCCTCCTCCTTTATTATGTTCTCCATCCTTTGAATCTCATCTCGCTTTACTGCCATGGCATACTGAAATGAACACGAAAAGCAACTCAGTCACGTCGGTTGGTTGGTGTTAAACTGTGTTGGTTTAGCTTTGTTCTTGGGTACCTTATTACCTTATAGGTGGTGGCAAAGAGAAAAAGGATCTCAAACCAAGGTGTGTGTCTTAGTGCAGACTAGGTACATGGGGGCCAGGAGATGTTTCAGAAGTGACATAGCAAATAAGCAGTGAAACTAAAGACAGAATCCAGACGTCCCAGAGCTGTGTTAACTCCTGGATGACAAAGATTGATTCGGTACACCAGCACAATAGTAGAGGTGAATAATGGGGGTATTCCAGCACAGCTCCCTTATTTGGAGTTCCAAATGGCTCCCAGATATAATTTATGGTACAGGACAGCAGGAGCCAAAATGTCAGCGTATCCTCACCAATTAAATAGTTGCATGCAAAATGTCAGCATATCCTCACCAATTAAATAGTTGCATAGCTGCTGCTGGATGGTGTGAATGACCTATGTTCCTTTCTTTCTTGGTTGGGGACTGCTGGGCTATAGACTGTGTCTTTAACACAGGACTTGGACAATCAGTGCATGAGGTCTGATGTGCTTCCCTGGTGTGATCTCTCGGCAATGGATCTCAGGGGAAAAAAACCCAAAACAAAACACAGGGAAGAATAATTAAATTAATAGAAAGTCATATTCTTAAAGCAGAGTACCTCAAGTAAAAATATCTCTCTTCTATCGTTTATGTAGTCACGGCAGGTCTCCTTTTCGAAGGTGTAATCTGAAATAAGAATATAAAGTTGATCAGACTAGAGCGGGAAATACAGCCAAGGCAAAACACAGTGGATATGGAGGCTGCCATGAGCATGGATGTGGTTGGCGTTGAAGCCAGCAATAATGATGATTTTATCAGCGTTTTGACCTTATTTAAGATCGGCTTCATACGGGCTTCCGTGGAGAAATTCTCCAGGTAGAATGGAGTGGAGAATCTGGTCCTTACAAAGGTCAATGTCCTCTGGACATTAATGGCAAAGTTACTCCTCATGCCAGAGGCAGAAAATCTAGGCCCACATCCGCCAAAATCCAACTTTCGGTCAGTTTAGTAGAAATGTCTGCATGCCACAGGGTTCTGAAACTCTCAGCTGACTCCCAGCTGGTTCCCAGAGCTCACAGCTACTGCAGAGGCCGTAGGGGATGTTGGAATCCAGGCCACTGCGGTGGGGTGGCACGTCCTGTGTGTAAATGCAGAGAGGGAGATGGCCCAGCCCCACAGAGGTTGGCAAGATGTAACTATTGTGTCTGCAAGAGCTCACCAAAGTCAACTAGAGCGGACTGCTACTCCCATCCCCTCTTTGATTTTTACTTTAGGCTGTTACTCAGCTGAGCAGCACCACTACAAAGATAGTAACCGTTCCCTACCTTTTTTAATGGCTGTCTTGCATGAAAGTCTTTTCTGAAGGGTTTTCAGGCTCTCTCCATTTGTTGCCTGTTTTCTGCTCTCCTCTTCTTCCTCCTTTTGCAGAGCTTTCCTGATCCCTTTTTGGTTTGATTTTATTTTAGTGGAGTAAGTAATTTTCTCATGGATTTTCATGGTCTTCATCCTTTCACGTTCCTACGAAGTCAGTTATGTGGACAGTTTGATTATGTGCTTTGGTTGCTGTGTTTTTTAAAGACACGAGTAGTTATTCACAGTCTAGAATTCTGCAGGCTACTGATACCCTGCTGATGGATGTTTGCCTGGTTTATCTGACTAATGCCAGTGATACTCTGCCATGAGGCAACCAAAACACTTCAGTTCTTAGCATTTGTTCCCATTTGTTGATTTGTATTCTGCATCCAGCCACCAGCTGTGCTAGTTTGTACCCACTCAGTGTCCTCATTTTTTCTTCCTGGATTATTCCTGGGAGAGAATGGAAATTTTCAGAGATTCATGTTCAAGTCCCCTAGTTAAAGGGAACAGGACAGCCCATGCTCAGTACCGACTCAGTCCAACTTTCACAAAGGCATGTAAGCCCTCCAGTTCGGATTGAGAGGATCTATTCAAATCCACTCCAGAGCTTTCTGGAGGGTAAATGGTTCTTCAGGCTCTGTACTTTGACGTGTGCTGAAGTGTAGTTTATTGCTCTTTGCAGTTTGGGCATGGCTTGGGCTGGGGATATCACTCAACAGGCAACCTTAGTACACTTCTTCGTAAGCCCTTCCCCGTACGTATATAGTGTCCTTCCACCCAAGCTAGAACCAGACTATCAGTCATCAGTATGTGAGGTGAAGAGGCCTGCCTAAGCCTGTTTGGAGCCTTTCCTTTGTGATTTAGAAACAAAGACCTCTTGCCTCCACACTGCTGCCTAGCTCCTGTAACATGTGCAACAATTGGACCTCTCAGAGATGGGACAACCTCTCCATCCCTTTTGGATTGCATGCCCTAAGGAAAGCCCACTGCAGAAAGAAGGAAGAAAGAGACATTCCTGAGACCCATCTCTCTGGTCTGGTGGGTTGCAATTCCCTATCTTATGGGGAGAAATCTAAGGCACGAAACCCACGTCATCCTTTCTTCCCAGGCATTCATGTTGTTGGCAGTTCAGAAGGAGGCCACATCAAACAATGGAATACAGCTTCCCAAGCAGAAGGCAAAGCCCACTGAAGTGGAAAGCAAGAGATCTTGCATCAAAGCTTTATGTAGAAATAAATGCTTACAGCACTGGCAGATGCCTAATTCCAGGAACAGGAACACATGGTAAATCTACCTTGAAGTAAACAAAGTGACATTATCCAGATTTTTCACTAGCAACCAGCAAGCCTGTGCTCAGATCTGCTCTTGGTAAAGTTAATACCTCATCACCGACTTCAGTGGACTTGAAGCTGATCTGGGGGAATCTCAGCTGAATTTCCAGCTATTGTTTCTCTCACGCACTAAATTTTGCTGTTACATTGGTTGGTTGCCTGTCCTAATGAGGTGCTTGTCTATACATTGGCCTAAAGCATGTATACATACCGCCTTAGCCTGTTGTCTTTCCTTGTCCATTATTGCGAAAATATCGATAACTGGAGGAATTGTAAATGGATTTTTCATTGGGTTTTCTTCTTCTTCTGGGCTTTCTGCAAAAAATAGATGAGGATGTAGAAGATGGGAGGCAGAATATTGGGGCCCACTGCAAAGGGACTCTGAGCTGCTGCATCACGCCTGAAGGGTGGGCAGCTGCGCTCACAGCCGCAGGCGTCTAACGGTGCTGAATCAAGAGCGGGGAGCTGGATAGGGCTTATGAGAAGCCAGTGATATAACTACATAACTGAGACCCCTGTATGGTCTGTGTCACGCCCATATGTGCTGATGAACTCAGGATTTCAGCCATGGATTTTTTTTAGTAGTAGCCATGAAATTTTTTTTTTTTTTTTTTTTTTTTAAGTAGTCTGGAGCTACTTTACTGCCTCAACTGATCGTGGGTAGAAAAGTCTGAATACAGGCCTCTCCTTCAACCCAGCAACCAAAAGCTGCCGAAGCTTCGTGACCTTACCTGACAGCACAAGCTGGGTTTCCATTCCAGGTTTGGAAGAGACACTTCCAGATGTTGACTCTGTATGTGGAGATGGCATCTTTGACCCTGGCCCAAGGAAAACCGTAAACAAATCAATTAACTAGAACCTGCCAGTGACTGATTCACTAGGTTTTATGGCCATGATGAGCCCAGGGGCTTTCTGGATCTTAACCACTGAGCCTTTTGTGTCTGTTGGAATTAACCAAAAGCTTCAGTAAACTAGAAAATATTTATGTTCTGACCCCAAAAAGGAGATGTTCGTCCCTGGCTTATGTAAAACTGTGTAAAACACAGCCCTCCTGACACACACACTAAAGGGAAAGCAAAGACAGAACAATTTGGAGATAACAAGCAATCAAGTCCCTTGTCTCTTGTTGCACCCACATCTCCAGTCCTGATCCACACCCGTACTGTTTTATCCTCCCATTGCTGGTTCGCAAACAACATTTTTAACCCATAATGCTATTACCAGTAGTTGCTCCAGAACTGTGGGTTTCTTGCGATAAGGCTGAACACTTGCTGGACAGCACAGACATGCTGTAGGGAACGCTGTCGTGTTTAATTTTAGGCTGGCAAACTGTTGAAGGTCAGGTTTTGGTTTCTCTGAATCCAGTCTCTTTTTTGTAGTCTTTGCTACGGGTCCTAGGGGAAAAGGTATAATTGTAGTGATCTCACTTAGAAAGAACACACAGACTATTGTTGAAGTTATTCTTTAATCAACAAAGGCATCAAGCTGGGTCCCAGTGAGGTTACTGGTTCAATTGATGCAATTCTTCTGCTGGGACCATTCCTGATCTGCACTGGTATAAGACACAGCAGAAAATACCCTCTTCCGCTTGCACTAGTTTTAAGGCTATTTTAGAGCATCATCTGTGCTCTGAACAGCCTCCAGTTTTTATGTATTTTGAGCTAAACTCATCTGGCCTAATTTCCCTGTACATCCTTGGTGCTTTGTGTTTCCTATTGGCTGTGTTTCTGCAGCTGCCCAATTAGTGTCTTATTCTTTGGATGTGTGAAACTTTCCCTGATGATGAGAGACAGAGACTGAGGTAGAATTTAGGCTGTTTGAATACAGCCCAAATGTTTTCTGTCTCCTTTTCAGTTCCTGAAGTACCTTTTCCAACGTCCCCCCTGACTGATTGCTTAGGTTTCATGTCTCTCTGAACTTGGCATGACTTAATGAATTTTTTTTTTTTTCTCTAGGGGTCCCTCATCTTTGCTGTGGCACAACATAATCCCTGCCAATGCTGTGAGTTTTGGAGAAAACCCCATCAGGGCAGGGGCAGGAAGGCAGTCGAACACCTGCAGCGTTCCAGTGAAATAGGCAGAGGAGTTGGAGCAAACACCTGGGTGTTCAGCCCTCTTAGTGCACACTGTGACTTCTGTATTCTAAACCCCCTTCTCTTAAAAATCTTCTGGTGCATGTGGTTGTTTTGAATTCCTGCTACAAGGAATGGGACTGAAAAGCAGGACTAGACAGAGGATACTGGCATATGGAAAATAATTGTCAATGCAACTCTGAGATAAAAAGTGCTTTATAATATAATTTTAGCAAAGTATAGGAACTTGTTTCTAAGATTAACCTATGAATACTAATTTTATCAAGGTATTTATGGTTTGAGGTTGTTGGGGTTTTTTAATAGATTGTTTGCACATCACTTTGGAAATAATGCCTAAAGCTAACGAAGCGTTAGTTGTGCTAATTATAATTATTAAGCTCAATAATGCAAACAAAAAACTACCTTGTTGTTAGAATTATTTGGCATGTATTTCACTGCCTCTGACATTTTTATGTTTCAGTAGCGACATACCAAAGGCCAGTAGTATGTGAATCAACAGATAAGGCATTCATGGTTTTAATTTACCGAAACATTTATTCAGTGCTTTCCCCTAGCGTTAAGCTGCTGCACAGAAAACAGTAAGCCAAAGTAAACACGCAAACACTTCTAATAAATAATACAATAAAATCCATCTACCATGTTTCCAGAGAACTGGATGAGTGTATGTCTTATACACTCAAATGATTTAAATGATCCCATCGCTTGCAGAGAAGGCGCGTTATGCTCACTGGGAAATTGCTCCAAGATTTGAGCTACAGAGCAACTCTTCCGGGGACAGATGTGTTCTATTTCCTAACACAGACACCCCGCCTCGCACACGGACACGGGGATCATTAGTGCGTGTGATTTCCCCGTGACACACGCCAGCATCTCCGCTTGTCTAAGCGAGGCGCTGTATAGCTGATGTCGAAAACGGGAAAGAAATTGCTGTGATTGCCCTCACCCCTTTATTTTTTGGTTTCTTACCCAAAGGAGAGCTCCTCCAGGCTCCTTGCCGTGGCTGGCTGGGGACTGGGACGTGGCTGCAGCACAGCTCGGCTCAGCTCTGGGCTCCCTCTGTCTCTTGTTTGTGCTGCCATGGAAACCTGCGCTCCCGTTGCTGGGCAGCACAGAGGCACCGAAGGATGAATTGCTCCCTTCTGGCGTTAGGCCTGGATCCACTGCGGTCATGGTCTAGGCCAAGCCAGCAGCTGAGCACCACGCAGCTGCTCGCTCACTCTTGATCCATGGGATGGGGAGGAGAAAATACAGGGAAAGGCTCATGGGTTGAGACAAGGACAGGGAGGGATCACTCGCCAGTTGTGGTCACAGGCAACACAGACTTGACTTGGGGAGCAAAATCAATTTACTTTGCTACCAGTCAAATCAGAGCAGGAGAAGGAGAGATAAAATCAGATGGTAAAAGCTCACTGAAGCCCAAACCAGACATTGGATTCAAACCATTTTCCATTGGGATGGAAAAGGAAGAAAACTTCCGTGGTGTAGGCAGTCTCTCTGGTGTGCTGGGTTCTTTATTCATTATTTCAGCCTGCATGGCCTGGGAATTGGGTATTTAACCCCATCTCTGCAAGCAAAGCAGGGGGTTGAGGAAATGTGAGCTGGAGCCCCTGAGTGTGGAAATGACTGTAATTTTTAATCGCTGTGTGATGTTTATAGACTGTGTCTTACTCTTTCTATTTGTGAAGTCTGAAGAGTCACAGTTTGGATGCCATGTGTGGTATGGGTGCATGAACTGTCATTTACTGGAAGTTCCCCAAGTCAATACTGCTGTCAAATCCCAAATATCATGTTCCATCACATCATGTAATTCTGCAGATGATTTGATAAAATATCAGTTGAAAAAATGAATACATTGAAAGGGAGGAGAAAATTCTTAGTTCCCCATATTTTCTCTTCCCTATTTCTGAGAAGACCAAGTAGTTCCAAGTGGATTGTGTTCTTTAGGCTCTTTAGACTATTAATACAATTTCAGCTCTCTGAAATAGCAGTTTCTTTCATTTACTGATAGGTTTCCAAACAGCTTTCTCCATCTGAATAAGTCATGCAATGAATAGCATGATTTTCTGTAAGTGCAAACTCCCATTTGATTGTTATAGTTCTTTTCTGTAATTGCCGATTATCAAGAGACTGGATTCAGGCAACAGAAGGAAAATGCTTGTACAGAAAAAAATTTCTTTTTATCCTGCACATGAATGCTTTGATTTTTAGCAGTGACACAGAAAATCGTAGTGCTATCTTTAGTATGTTTTGGGAAATTTCCCAAACATACTGGGGAGTAGGTATAAAAAATGAGACTACAGAATGATTTCCATTACCAAAAAAATAATTCAGGAATAAATTGTACTTAAGACGCATTTTTCTAAAGGCATAATGTCAAATGGTCTTTGCTCAGAAATATGAGTTTATTACAGAATTGCAAATTTGCAGCAATGGTAACATCACAGAAATGGATAACAGAAAGTGAAGATATTTGAACAGCTACAGCTCTGTCTGACATAATCTCTATCAGTGAATGATACAATTATATATCCACTGCTCTGTTTTGTGCTATCCTTGCTAAACACTTATTTCTCCAAACTGGAACAGAGATTATTTAAAAGCAGAGATGTATTTTGTAAATACTTGGAAATATGCAAGCTCTTCATAGCTTTGCTTCATCGTTTGTGTCCCACACGTGCCGTAAGACACTCAGGCTCTGCGTTTTCTTGAGGGCAGAGAAGTTTTTAAGGCCAGAAGGACATCTGGGGTCTATTCTTAGCCACCATTAACTTAGTTAATGAATGGAATAAATAGCATGTGCAACATCATGGGAAAATCTGCCCGGTGCCATGGGCAGTGCAGCTCACCCCTGCTGCAGTTCATTAGGGATTTCCAAGTTGTCTAATGTTGCTTCAGGGTACCATGTTTTTGGGGCTTATTAAATGTCTGGACAGTGGTTCTTCAGTCACGGCTGAGACAGACAGGCAGTTTGCAGGATAAGAATGGTGGGTTGCTGCTTACATTTCCAACAAGTTGTTTTCAGATTCGGGACCTTGTAGGGGTGGTTTTGTTAGGACATGAGACTGGAATTTCAGGTTATCACTATTTCTTTGCTCTCTTCATTTCTTTCTTGAAGGGGTTACTTGTTTTCTCCACTCCTTGGTCACCCACCTCGTAATGTGAAGGGGTTACCTGTCTTCTCCATTCAGTCACCCTATTTGTGCCATGGGGATGTTGATCCCTACCAAAGAGGTGCTGCAAGGGTTAATTAGTGTTGGCAAAAGATTTTGAAATGGCTAACTGAGGAAAGCTGCCAAAGATGAAAGCTGAATAAGTATCTAGATAAATAAATATTCCTTTGTAGGTTTATCGTTAGTGGAAACTCCCTGTGTAGCCAGGATACTGCCCAGGTCACTGAGCAGTCATCTCCCCATTGCCTGAGTCTTCTCAAGGAGGCTCATTTATTTAAGTATTTCACTCTAGTTCCTGCAATGTGAGCTGCAATATGTACTGCCCTAAGAGAAATGCCTGGCCATAACCAGCAAACACCAATGTAACACTGAATGGATTGTCAGTTTTTCCTTTTCTTGGAGCCCTTGTTCTTCTGTTTCCCAATGAACTGTGTGGGTGCAGAACCCACAGCATCCCAGGAGGGAGAAAGGGAATTCAGACCCTATTTCCAGGGTTAGACACAAGGAAGGAGGAGGGATCCACAAGCAAGTGTCCAAAAGATACTGAATACTGCCTACAAGAGCTCTGCTGAAGGCCATGCAGCCAGCTCTCTGCTCCAGTTAGGAAAAGGTTTTCTGCTGATGGGTCTCTTTGGACACTCTTCTCCTGCCTTTCTCCTGCCTGAGAGGAAACAGCTTCAGGTTATGGAGTTCCCATAGGGAATATATGGCAGCTCACACACTTCTTGCATGCTCACACACTTCTGTGCATGCTCCTGAGCTCTGTAGAGAGGCTGAAAGGGGGAAGAACACTGACCATGTGGTTCTCCTCCATTTGTCCTTTATTCACAGTACAAATTCCTGCATCCACACCACAGCTCAATGAAAGATGCCAAAAGGAACAGTACTGGAGACCATAGCCATCCCATCAGATCCCAGCATGTCTGTTTCCCTGCAGAGCATGTCCCTTCCCAGCACCGGGCTGAATGGCCGCGCACACTGACTGCTTAGTGTGCACAGCACATCGGGGTCTCTCGACAGCAACAG